CTGGGGCTGCCCAGACACACATCCATGAGGAGACCATTTATAGCCCACTTGAATATTATGAATTTGAGGCGCTGTGACAGTATCTTTATTCCAAGATTGCTCCTGACTGTAAGCTAAAAAAATAATTTAGCCTAGATGATTTCGACTGAGAGGAAAATAATACGCTGCCCCAGACTCAACTTTGGCAGTCTTGAACAGCAAGGTTAAATTATGTCCCTAAATTTTGGAGAAGACAGAGACCACTTTGGTTGCTCCCCCACCATATCCACACCCCTCCACAAAAAACATAAAAAGGATTAATTTCTCAAGTTAGGAAATCAGGTTTCAACCCACCATTGTGTGGTCATAAGAATTACACCCAACTATTCATGAGTTATTAGGCACTGGATTCAATCAGTGAGTGAATTCATCTTTTTTCTAGTGGCTAGCTCCACTGCAGCAAAGAACTGGCAAAATGAACAATTTGGTAAAGTGAGTCAATGGTCTTCTTAAGGTTCACACCTAATCAACTATTCAATTTTGGATTTGAATGTATTCAACTAATTTGACCATACCTTCCCACTCATGTCAGGTTGTTATTCACATCACATCATGTCCACCTTATAAAAACTCAAGAGAAAAATTCCTCTCAGACCTCAGTATTAGGTAAGTCAATCTGCTATTGAAAAACCAAACAATAACAAAAAATAACATCCAAACAAATAAAAAAAAACTAAAACAAGGGTAAAACGTGTCCTCTGTTCCTTTAAAACATTAAGAATCTTAAATGATTGTGATCCCAACTTGCTGTTGTTGCAAATAAGTCAAATCTGTGGTCCATTTCTAGCAATGTAGGAATATTTTATATATATATTTCCATCCAAACTATTTGAGACTTGTTTAGAAATCTACTTTGATTTAACGTACTTATGTCTAGATTTTCCAAGGTACTACTGAGCTGACTCTTCTGATTAATAACAACTTCTTGCTGAATGTAATTTAAGCGGCTTATGTCAGGCTAAGCACAATAAAAGTAGTATCAATTCAGCTCAATTAACATTAGCAAATATTTAAGCCTCAGTCCAAAAATAAGTCTCATTTCAGAACTTTTTCCTCCATATCACCTTAATATTAATGCCAGTAATGTTGATCATTTACTTTGTGTCTGATACTTTGCCTCAAAAAGAAGGTTCTTGTCTTTGAAAGCTTAAAGGTGACAGTAACTAGTTTAAGATTAAACTAGCATCTATTAAATCAAAGAAAATTTTACACAGTACTGAATTCAGTGGTAAACTTCAAAGTGCTTCCTGTAAGTGATCTTGATGAGCTTAATAAATGAAGGCTAGAGTTCTCAGTAAAGACTCACTAAAGGTTGCAGAACCTAAATTAGTCCTGTCAAAGAAGACTAGAGTTGATTCCAGGTAAGGCATGTATGTCAGAGAAGTCATAGAGATAAGACTATGTTTTCATAGGCCAACAATACCATGTTTTCATAGGCTACTGATGAGAGCCATATGAAAAAAGCAAAAGTTATAAAATTGAAAGTTCTGGAAATTTTTATTATGGAAGGACATAATGAATCAAATCAAAGATTTGAGCTTGGTACCTCCAAAGTCTAAGAAGGGTGCCCAGTTTTTCCATCATGGGCCAGGTCAATACAGAATGTAACTACTTCTCTTTATAGAGTGTAAGGATTTTCTACTCAAGGTCAAGGACCAAATTATTTAAGGCAGGCTACCAATTATCAAACATTTCAGTCTATGTTCAGGCTATTTCCCAGAATAAAATAAAGGTGTTTATTCTTCATTTATAATTCATGACTTACTCAAACTATGAGAGTAAAATTAAAACTGCCACTTCTCTTGATTTCAATCTGGAATCCAGTTCACTAATCCACCATTAAATAGGGATAAATAACATACTTTTATCCAAAGGAAGTGAACAAATCCCATTTCCATTGCAGAGCAGCCCAAAAACAAAAATGATAAAGTGTGTGTGGCCCAGACAACAGAGGGTCTTCACCTCTGAAAGCCACTGAAGCACAAGTGCTTTAAGTCCCAACATTTCTGCCAAAGTCCATAGAACCTGGAAAGATACAGGTTTAATACCATGTAATTTCAACTGAACTGGAAATAATGTGGTTTCTAACATAGTTTCAGCAGGCAAATTTAAGGCTGACTAACTCTTAAATTGAAAGAAACATTTTCTAAAATTAGTAATTAGAGGAGGGAAAAGACCAGCATAATTAGAAGCTCTAAAACTCACTACTAAACATAATATTATTTCCAGGATATCCTTTTTTGTCTCCATTATACAATTGTATTTTCTATTTTGAGCCATCCTTCCTGACATCTCATCTATATTATTAGTTAAACTTAAAAAATAGCCCACTAAAATAGAGCCCTTTTATCTGGATTTTAAAAAGAAGAAAGAGTTACAACCAAAGGATCAATCACAATGGATACATGAGCATCAGTGATAGACTTTTCTCCCATCCAGAGCAACACAGTAGTCAACTGACAGGAAGAACCTCCCTCTGCCACTCAGTAAGCATCAGAACATAAATGGAAGTTTCTCCATTTCCCTACTCTTAGTTTCTCTGTCTCTAAAATGAAGACATATCATACTTGACCATTTTCTTTAAGAAAATATGAGAATTGAAAAGATATTTGTTTTTTCAAGAATGCTGAACTCTGTGATTAAAAAAAATCACAATTTAGTATCAGCCTCTGCTTACTCCAATCTCTGCTTTTCCTGATCTACTTCACTATTAGCTACTACTCCAGCTGCTGCTTCATATACTTACATAAGAGTTCAAGATATTGACATTAATAAGCCAATTTTCCAATAAAAAGTGTCCCAATCTGCAGGGTCCATATCCCTCCCAACTTTGCTATTAAAAATGCCAACTACTGAAAACCCCAACATCATATTTAACTCCTGATCCACTTCATTAAGACCCCCCAAGTACTTTCAATTCTGCCTTCAAACTATCTCCCCATATTCCTATCCTCCTCTCCACTCCAACTATCATTACTCTCCTCAAATCACTTCTAGGTTACTGAAATAGACTTCAGCTAAACTGAAACAGGGGGGCGAAATTCACTCAGATTATGCTACCTAGAGAGAGCCATTATTAATATTGTTTGAAAACATCTTTTCATACAATTCTTTCTAAGACTAGCTACATATGTATAGACAGAAATGTACACAAGAGTATGTGAATGGTATCATACAATAAATATACCACATAATTTAACTCTAAAATGTCATTTTCTGTACTTGTGTGTCCTGACTGATCTTCCTATCCTCATTTTATAGAGAAAGACATACACATTGAAGTTACAGGTCTTGTCCATGCTATGGAATAATTTAATAATGATATCCAAAGTCTTCCCAGTCTTCACAGTGTTTACTTTACCTAATCTCAACTTTGTTACTCTCCTATATCAGCCTCTTCATCACAAATAATTTGGTCCATTCATCATCTCCCAGACTCCTCGAGGATTTCCATTACCATACATTAACTTCTATTCTTCCTTCTGATTATAAGTCCTTTTTATGTCTTCTCAAATGTGTGCCCTTCCCTCAAAATTAAACACAAGTCTCACCTTCATTTATATATTCACTATTCATTCATTCAACATATAATTTACCATGCATCTACTATGTCCCAGTGCTAAAGATTCAGAATTGAACAATGCACACACCAGCCCCGCCCCTAAGCAATTTACCCACTAATGGCCAAGAAAGACAACTAAACAAGTGATAACACAAAAATGTGATAAACATTAGGTCAAGGTACATGACAGAAAACTTTGTGGCACCTATCAGAAAAAACTCCTCTGTGAGGCTTTGAGAAGACATCTGGCTCATGATGTCTCCTTCCAGATCAGAATTCCTCTGGCACTTATGTATAACCTACGCCGTTCATTTTGAAACTTAGTCTGTGCTCTCTTACACTGTAATTTACGTTTGGGGTACAAAGGTCCTTCTTCATTTAAACAGTCAAGTTCCTTACAAATAAATAACTTGCTTTATCCTTCTTTTGTGTTCCTATAAATTAGTACAGAGCAGAAAATAAATAATAGTGTATTCTTACTGCTGCTGCTAACACTATGAAATAAAAATTCAGCTGTGACTAGTTATTGCATGCTTCTAATAAGAATTCAGAAGAACTTTCATCATTTACAGCTATTCTTCATATTTCTAAGTTTGTTTCTAGAGTTTACAGTTTAGGCAACTCTCAACTGAGACTTTCCTCTCTACGGAGCATTACCACTTAAAAACAATGCTGTGACTCCTCCTGCTAAGTTGAGCCCTGCAGGGCTAATAGTCAGCAAGCTTGGTACCCAGTGGTCTGAAATCGTTCCCAAAAACTAAATAAATAACTGCTTGCTACATTGTATAGCCAAACTCTGAACCTAGTCTGATTGGATTGCTTGGTAACATTGATTTCAGGAATGTCAATTATTAGTAAATGAACAGTAAAGCAACATTATCAATCAAGAATAAATTATGTTTGGAGAAAATAAGAACATATTTAAATAGCTCCCAAAACACTAATATCAACTTTGCTTCTCTTGCCTATTTGGAAGAGCAAGCTACTTTGACTGTTTTTACAGACTTGTCAAGATTATCTAAATGAAGGTTTACAGTCATAAAAGCAAAATATATGGCTCTAATGAACCATATTCTGATTAATGTAGAGTTAAAAGAAAAATAAAATAATCAACAAACCTGGAATCATCTTGCAAGTTAAAAAAAATTACAAATAAATTGCTCACAAATCTTTATGATTGTTCTGACTAAATCAAAGCTTCTGGTAGGAACACTTTTTATTCTGAAACAAAATTACATTTAATGTACTTTTTTGTGTTTCCTTTCTTGAACATTTGAAATTCTTACTCTTTTTCAGTTAAATAGATAGTTCTAACTCTGTTGCACCTTGCATCAGCTACTATATTCTATTTAATAGAATCCTATAGTATTCTACAGGAATTGTTAGAATTACCGTGACTGTGTTCACTTCGGCAGCACATATACTAAAATTGAAACAATACAGAGAAGATTAGCATGGTCCCAGCACAAGAATTACCATGACCATGCTAATTCCACAACAGAAAACTATAGTGACTCCCAATTGCTTCCCAAATGAATAATAACATTATAAAAACTGGAATTTTCCTAAAAACCCTAACTTTTCATTCAGCATAGAGGTTTGTAACTTGGGCCCAAGAATGGGCTTCAGGGTTCGGTAAACACTCTGAAACTGAAAATAACATTTTGCGTGTTTTTATAGATTATTCTGTAGGAAAGAGCCCAAAGCTTTCAAAGTCCCACTGGAGACTCTGACCTCAAAAAAAGGTTCACAAGTATAGTAATTTTAATATTCTACTTTCATCACCTCCATCATATTTAATGATCCACATCCATTATTATTTCACAGATCTGGAATTTCTAGCAAAGTCAAGTAAACCTACCTACTGCCCTGAAGCAAGAGACATATGATTTCCTTCACTTAAAATGCCCTAACACTCACAAAGCTCTCTTTGAGATTTTCTCTTCCACCACTCCTCACCGGATCTTACCGACCCAATTCACCAAGAGGTACCAGTGTTAACCAATCTTCAGCTGTGGACTGATAGCACCGCTAACTAACTGGTTAAGGACAACAGGCCAGCCTGCTTGAACTAATGTGGACAAATGTGTTCACAGGGGTTTTTCTATGATACATTTCCCAAGTAAACATGTTACACTTTCCACACAAGTGTTGAAATAAAATAATTTTAGTGATAAAAGCTAGAATAATAGGATATTTTAAGGCAGGCTGGGTCTTATGCCACCCTTTATGTCACACCACATCAGTGTCCAGCTCCATTTTTTATGAGATGATCTTTAGTTATAAAATGAATCCCAGTAATGAATTCTTTAAATTTACACAGAAGTAATCAATGCTAAAATTCATAAATAATATGTGCAATCTTGAATGAAGGAAGGAAATGTTGCTTTTCTCTCTTTGTTATCACTTCAGTTTTACTTTGGTGGAAGTTACTTGACAAACCTAACAGACAACCCAACTATTTTTAGGTTCTTAGTAGAACATAAGTGACAAATAAAACAAATTTTCACACCTCACATCGAATGTTCCAACTTTTTGGATCTCTTATAAGAAATTTAGGACTAATGAATGAATGAAGAGTAAAGCAACCCACAGAAAAGTCAAACTTGTAAATTAGAAGAACTTTTTTTTAACAAGAATTTTAATAATCAACAAGCCATGATTAATATTTCCTGGCCTTTTTTTTTTTTCATTTCTCAGATGACTTCTCACTTCTTCCAAAAACCAGACAAATAAACAAAAACAAAACATAACACAATGCATTCTGTAAGTTTCAACTGATATTCTCTCTTCAGTCCTGACCTGTTAGCTCTTGTGTTTGCACAACTTGTGGTCACCATACAAACTTTAATGAATTAGCTAATGCACTCCTAGAAACACACTGCTTGCTTTCCATGATTAAAATTTCCATAGTCAATAACATAGCTATGGTGAACAACTAATGCTATACTTGCTTATGCACAGAGCTTCAGGACACTGTGTCAATAACAGAACTGCCACTGGCCTGTTAAACCCATATAATCAAGAGAATCTTTCTTATTCTTCTTAAAATTGAAGTTCTGACATTCACAAAAGCCTTCTTAAGTGATAATCTCTATTGTGAGATATTATGGTGTGCATATGTATGCTAAAATTATATCTGCTTTAAAGCAGTAGGACTTACAGAATGTATGCTTTCAGGGAGCGTAAGTTCAAAAGGACTTTTCTCTTTGATACACATTTTTATCCTTATTCCGTGTAGAAACTTATTTTAAGGGACTCTAGTTTTTCTCCACTGAGACAGGCTGACTCAATCAGTTATGGCTAGGATGGGTATAGCAACAATAGTGATGATGATGGCTAATATTTACTGACTGCTCATTGTATGTCAAGCTCTTCTCAAAGTTTTTAGGTGTATCTACTCACTTAAACTTCTCAACAATCCCTCTGAGACCAAAGATGTACCATTATTATCACCAATTCATGGTCAAGAAAACAGAGGTATTAAGAAGTTATATCATTTGCTTAAAGCCACAATGCTAGGATGTAGAATGGTCCACTTGAACCTGGACAGCTCATTTTCAGAACTAGTGTTCTCTGTCTCTAGGCTATAATGGGTCTCCATGTAAACTTGTTAATTTCCTTTTCTGTTTTTATAAGAATCTGAACCTAACAGCTATCAAGATTACACATTAGCATATTCTAATATTCTAATAGAAACTTTATTTGTACAAAATCTCATGCTGAGATATAATTTTTTTTTGGTTTATATGACAAGACAATTGGGGTTGGGCTTTGTATCAGTATAGGTTTAATCAAGAAAACTAGGAACCAGAGGGAGGGTACAGTTAAAGTGGTAGAGTGCATGTTTAGCAGGCATGAGGTCCTGGGTTCAATCCCCAGCACCTCCCCTAAACATAAATAAATAAACCTAATTACCTCTTCCCACCCACACACAAAAAATGACTTTAAAGAAAACTAGGAACCATTTCAAGTACTCATAGTTCAAGGATTTAATAGGTGTGGAGGAGCTCAGAAGCCAGATGGGGGTGGGTGGTGAGGTCACCTAGAGATTAGCAGCAGTAGGAAGCTACTACCACATACCTCACAGACTGGAGGGTTAATAGAAAGAAGCAGAGATATCAGAGCCCAGGGGATCAAGATCACTAATGGCAGGTTTGTTTATAGAGAGAGCTGGAGCCCTGGAGGAAATGCAGCCACTAATGAGCTGCTGCTCAAAGCAGATGAGGAAGGGGAAAAACACTGACATCAAAATTTCTGCTGCCTTAAGGTCTCCTACCAGTGCCCCCCAGGATCCTGAAAGATGTAGCCCACAGCCCTCTGTGACACAGAGTCTAGCTGTAAAAGGGTGAGGAATGGCTCAGGAACCACTTAGGTTTCCACAGTGGCTTTGTTACTTAAATAAATAGTCAAAGTTCTAGTCCAAATACTATCCAAGAGTAAAGACTTCTTAAGCAAAAGTCCCATAAATTCACCCAAAACAGATATTTCACACTTTAATTATATAAAATAGAAAAATTATTGTCTGTCAATGTTCTTTTGGAAAGGCCAACAAAATTTTATAAATATAACATTAACTCTTTTACCGACTTTGCATGAAAAAATCCTATAAGAACCAAATACAGATGTCACCTTTAATTAAGGCTTTACTTAATGGGCTGTTTTACTTATTATTTGTCTACCCCTCTGTATTTATTGATAGTCTTTCTGTGAAGTTCCTTCAATTGTGTAATTAGATTCTATGCTCAAGAAAAATTTTAGAAAATGGGTATTCTTGTTCCATTTTCTGGACTGTTTTGACCAATGAGGTCTTTTTTCTCAGGAGCTATGATGCAATCAGCAGTAGACACTGCTGGCTGCATATCCAACACAATCATTTCTCTCCTTTCTTTCCTTGCAGAATAGTGACACTCCTCCACAAAATGTTACAAGGAAAGATGAACCTATTCCCAGATCCAGGGGATATAGCTGAACAGACTTAGTCTAAGGGTTGGGAGAATCAGAGATTTTGCCCTGTAGGGAACAGTGGGCAGTGTTTCAGACATTTTGGTCACTATACTAGAGGAGGAGTAGGAGGGCTACTGGCATCTAGTGAGTAGAGGCCAGGGCTGCTGCTAAACGTCCTACAATGCACAAGACGGTTTCTACATACATGACAAAGAAGTGTCTAGAAACCTTGGTCTATTCTTGAACCAGCATCAACTTGATCTTGAACACAGTTATCAACTGGGAACTTGTTAGAAACGCAAATTCTCTGGCTCTAACCCAAATCTGCTGAATCAAAACTCTGGGTGTGGGATCTCACACTTTATTTATTTATTTATTTATTTATTTATTTATTTATTTATTTATTTATTTTTGAATCGATTGTGTTTTTTTAACTTTTTTTATTGATTTATAATCATTTTATAATGTGCCAAATTCCAGTGTAGAGCACAATTTTTCAGTTATATATGAACATACATATATTCATTGTCACATTTTTTTCTCTGTGAGCTACCATAAGATCTTGTATATATTTCCCTGTGCTATACAGTGTAATCTTGTTTATCTATTCTACAATTTTGAAATCCCAGTCTATCTCTTCCCACCCCCTGCCCCCTTGGCAACCACAAGTTTGTATTCTATGTCTGTGGGATCTCACACTTTAACAAGCTCATAGTTGACTCTCATACATGCCAGTGTTTTGTAGTCACTGGTTTAAGGTTCCAGGAGTTGGCCATCTATGGTCCATAGGCCTGCCACCTATTTCTGTAAGTTAAGTTTTATTGAAACACAGCCATTTATTTACTTTTTGCCTATTGTTACTACAATAGCAGAGTTGAATAGTTGTGACAGAGACCAGATGAACTGCAAAGCCCTTTACAAAAAAGTCTGCCAACCCCTGAAGCCAGTCATGGTAATTTTATTATTCTTGCCAATTATTGGTCTAGGAACAGACTATTCAGGAAAGCATAAGATCATCAGGATAATTAGGATGGGAGAAGAGTGTTGCTGGACATGAAGGTAGAGCATTAGGGAAAATATACTTTATTTCTAAGGAGGAGAGACAGAAAGTGATGTCCTCTTTTTTCTTCTGGATATTATATTGTCTGGATGTGATAGCTAGAACTACAGCAGCCATATTGCAACCAAGAGGAAAACCAGGCTACAGCAAGAACAATACTCCAAAGATAGGGGGAGTAAGAGAAGGAAAGAACCTGATTTCTGTATGTTAAAAATTTTCCACAGTGAGGATGTATTACATGAGTAATAAGACTAGATAAGAAGGAAGGAAGGAAGGGAGGAAGGAAGGAAGGAGGGAAAGAAGGGGAAAAAAAGCTGATTCCAAATAACTACCAGAGTTTTTAATTACCTTAAGTCTATATTTTAGTTTATGTATGTTTGGATCCATAATCTATATAAATTCTAAATTAAAGTAATTCCGGTTTGAAGCAAATTAAATTTTTCCCCCAGCAATAGTGAAGAGTAACTATTTCATTTTTCCATTGAAACCAGAGCAATTTA